CTGTAATTCAAAGAATAGTTGATTTAAATCTTAATTGATTTTCTGTAGTTTGAGTTACCTTGAAAGCTGTAATTCAAGAATTAATGTAATATTATTTACTTTGTAATTAACAGAAAATTGTAGATTCTATTAGATTTGCACAACTACTTTATTGCAAATAATGGCTTGTATTTGTGATGTATGTAAAAGAAAATTTATTTGATTTAATGGCTGATACACTGAAATATGAACAATTAACAAGTAAGACCTTGCTCTCTCTCTCTCTCTCTCTCTCAGTGGTAAATGATGTGGAACACTGTGATTACCGTTTTAATGAACAATGTAACAGGAATAATAATAATGTGGAAAAAGTGGTCAAATGACACCATTAAACTAATAAAATAGGTAAATAATGAAGAAATTTTGGGATAATAAAACTGGTTTGATGTTGGTGTTAAACTATGGAAATGATAAGCTTGCCTCACTGTCGTGTTCTGATTGTTTGATGTGCACAGCTTGCAACATCTCAATATACCTGTAACCACTATATATGACTAAGCACGCTAGAAAGGACGTAATATTTTGGCCCGACAGCACTAGACCCTGAACAGTAGTATGGCATGGAATGGCAGAAAATCTGGTTTATGGTGAAGTGGCCTAAATAGGCAGTCCATGCTACTGTTTCTGTGAGACTCTCCTATGGACACCCCAATTAAAGTCATATCTTGACTTGCCTCCACATGAGTGATGTATGAGTGTTGTGTAAGTTGTGCAGACACAATTTTTTGTGTGGCCTAACCAGCCTTGGGCCCAATGGTGCCCATATGCCGCCTATGGTGTTTAGACGAGCTGTATAGTTGTAAATACAATAATGATTGTAGAATAATTCTTTTTTACTGTTCATTTTGGTGGGTATGTACTTAAAAATGCTGCCACAACCACCATTATGATTGGTGATTGACACACAGCTAGATCCAAAGCTCTGATATGGCTGTGTGTGCACCAAAATGTTGTTCGTGTGTATACACTGCATTCAGGGTGGCTGTGTGCAGCCCATTGTTATTGTATGTACAGATCTAAGCATGGAGTCACCCTGATTTATTTATTTATCAGTCATCTTGTTCATCATCTGTTCCATCTTCCTCATAAATACTCCCCCTCATAAGTGATGCTCTGCCTCCTTGTTTTCATTCACATGCACATACACACCTGCCAGTCACATCTTGTCTATGTCTAGTGTGGAAGATCTAAGAAGACAGTTTTCACTATTACCAATTCCTACCTTAATCTTGTGATGCCTGTCTCCTGGGCTCGTGAGCACAGTCCTCAGGAACCTTCTCTACTGCAACACTCATTCTTAGCCAGCTATCAACATGTGGATTTCTCTGTCTCACTCATACACTTTCTCTGTT